GTACAACAAAATTAAAGCTCTCCCTGATATCAAATATGGCAGTTGAAATAGGTTCAGGGGTGGAGCCTTATCATATGTGTGCTCTTTGGTCCAGATCAGACAATGTATGAGGGAATGAGAGGCAATAAGATTTTCATGGTGAGTCATCGAAATTCGCCGTGGCGCCGCGGGCTCACTGTATCACGAAAACTCAAAAGCTCCGCAATTTAACATGGCCCAGGTGTGTAGTTGACACTGACCAAAGATGAAGCTTATACGACCAAATCCCAAGGAGGAGTTCACAAAAGGTTCGAGGCATGAAAATGGCAAAATTAGAGCCAAAATGTCACCTTCACTTCTAAATTGCGGACTTCCTGTTGGGTTTGCGTCAATGGCCCCATTGACTTTTTTGTTCGTCTTGACATGATACACATGTGTGCCAGATTTCATACGTGTAGCTCAAACGATGTGGTCGTAGGGCTGCATTTAACAAGGCATAGGTGGCGCTCTAGAGCCATTTCCCAGTGCGCATATGTAAAACCATTAAAATACAAAATCTTTCGCCAGACCTGGCATGTGTGCAAAATTTCATGAGTGTTTGAGCATGTTTAGGCCCTCAAAAAGGCCCTTGTTTTGCCTGAATAATAATAATAAGAAGAAGAAACGGAGCAGACACAATAGGGCCTTCGCACTCTCAGTGCTCGGGCCCTAATAATAATAATTATTATTATTATTATTATAAGAATCATCAGAGCGGACGCTACTCCACACGTCTGCACTAGGGGGCGGACCATCCCGCAGCTGCCCTGTTGTGATTGGTTGAGACACTCCAAACCGGGATATTTTGAAAACAGGGTGGCTGCTGCTAGTTTTGTGACTGTTTTCCGAAGAGACGTTAGTGGCTTTTAGCCTAAACGTGCAGAAGAAAAGATTTTACAAGTTCTTTATGGAGCAGGATTCGTGGGATGCTGCGTGTCCGGGGAACGACGCGTCAGACGTGGTCGTGGTTAATCTGGACTTTGGTAACGGAGACACGGACAACGGCCCGGCCGATAAAGGCTACGGCGGGGCGGATATAAGTCGAGGTGAGGTCAGCAGCAGTGATCATCCACGTCCGCGTTGTAATCTTTTAAAACAGGAACCAGCTTGTAGGTTTCCTGCCGTGCATTTGACTGCTCTAGCACTGCTTAACTGACCCGTGTGTGCTAATGACAGCGCATATGTGTTTGTAGCAGGCCTGTCACGTTAACACTGTTAGCTTTCATGTTTCGCTCACGCGACGCGTCCACGCAGACGGTTCTGCAACAGTGATGCAGATAAACGTGCACACATCGTGCTGTAGGCTGAACCTTCAACACTACTGTGGCACTAAGCTATGCTTACATTTTGAATGGCTCTTTCAGCCCTCTGTGCAAATGTACCACATGCTAGTATGCGCTCCAGCTGTTAGGTGTCGCAGATTAAGTGGTAACGCTCAAACAGATGTGTGGTAGACTTGCTTTTCAGGAGTCCCTACAAATAAACCAGGAAATAAACGCTGAATATTTCATTTATGAGGTTAATTGAAACACAGTCCGTCAGTCTTATTGCTTTTGACCAGTAAAATAGTCCATGTGAACAAAGATTTTCCTCCATGGTGTTTCCGTCTTTAACAGCCTTGTTTAAAAACGAGGAGGAGAAGAAAGATGAAGATGGCAGTGATGACGACAGTGGAACATACTACTATAACACTGAAGCGTCGGGGACTGGGCTGCAGAGACGTGAGCCACCTTCAGGAGGAAGTTCAAGTCTTCCTGACACGTTCCAGACCAGCCACCTGTTGTTCTACGAGAGGTTCAAGGCCTACCAGGACTACATGCTCGGTAACCAACGTCTGCTAATATTAATAATCATAACTCTGAGAAATTAAACTGCTGATCTCAGTCCTTGTGTTCTTGTGTGTGTAGGAGACTGTAAGCCTTCAGAGGTGAAGGACTTCACAGCAGACTACCTGGAGAAGACGGTGGAGCCATGTGACTGGTTGGCTCTTTGGTCTACTGATATCTTTGATGTTCTGGTGGAGGTAACGTAATGCTTTCATTAACCTGTGATCACACAGTCTAGTCATAACGACGTTGTAAGGACTGCTTTCCATCCCTCTCTGATGACACGTGTGAAAGCGGAGTCTGCAGGGTGATGGCTGTAGCTGTGTACTCCACTCTGCATCATGTTTAGCTGCGTGCAGCAGTTTGCAATATTAGTTTGTTCAAAAACCATCTCAGCTTTGTCAGCTTTATCAAACACCGATTGCATCTTGAACTTGTGACATTGATGTTTGTGGCTCACACTGACTTGATGTCATTCATGACAGAATGTAGGCCAGCGAGTCCTTTACAGCAATTTAAATGCCTACAAACGATCCTGGCTGCCGTTCAGCTGTAGTGGTTGTAGGCTGTCAGTGCGCCGTTTACCTCAGCTGTCAAAATGTCTGTTGTCCACATCATTTACTCTGGAGGGAAGTGTAAGTGTGAAAGGAGTCGAGATGCGTGGATCAGTCACTTGGCTCATGACAGAGATGTTGAGGATATTCTGAACTTTTCTGTCACTAAGTCTTGCCTGTTTTATTTTTGTGCAGTCTCTGTTAGGAGAAACGTTGCTTAAAGTGGATCTAACGTTGCCAGACTCTGACATGTAGTGAAAAAACTTTTATATTGTTTAAGAATGTAATCTAAGTGTTTATCAGAGGGAAAGTGTGATTTGTAGGACACTAGAGCCTGACATGCTGGCATGATGTTAGCTTATGACCAGCTGGTCTTTATCTGGCTTGTAGTCAGCTGTCCTGAGACAGAAGGGCCAGATGTGTAATCTGCTGTGACAATTTCAGGAATAAACAAGCATGTTCATACATTGTCTAAGGAGCTTGCAAAGAAAAGCGTCCGGACTTCTTTAAGTTGCTTGAAGACGTTTCACCTCTCATCCGAGAAGCTTCTTCAGTTCTAAGGTCAAATGGTGGAGAGTCCCAGATATAAACCTAGTGGGAGTGACCCCCCACAGAGGGACAAAAGGACCCCCTGATGATCCTCTAATCGCCTGAGCCAAAGTGTTTCGGGTGAGCTCATTGTGAAACCTGGCCCCACCTTATCATGTGATTTCCTGAGGTCAGATGGCCCTCACACCCACTCAGGGTGGGTCCTTGGTCCCTTTTTGGGGAGATACTCCCACTAGGTTTATATCTGGGACTCTCCACCATTTGACCTTAGAACTGAAGAAGCTTCTCGGATGAGAGGTGAAACGTCTTCAAGCAACTTAAAGAAGTCCAGATGCTTTTCTTTGCAAACTCCTGAGACTACGATGACCTGGATGACTGAGAACCTTCACAGACACATGTTTATCCATGTTTTTCTGTGTTGGAGCCCTGACTTCATTTCAGGAGACAAGGCATGAGGTGAGGAGGAGGGGCAGAAGACAGAGGCCAGTGGTGAAGTCATGTAGGTTGAGAGTTAGGCATTTGTCATCTTTAAATTTAAAAAGTACGTATCTGGCTAGTCTCCAGTGACATACAGACGTCCAACCTGACCGCTGGATTCAAGGTGGCGGGCCAACATAGCCTGTGCTCCAACATTGCTCCTATGAACTCTTAATGGATAAACGTTTTTAAGAACACATCAATTTGTTAGGAAATGTTATTGCACACTAATCAATGTATATTTATGAGTGCAGCAATCTTTTTTACTAAAAACATTACTTTCTCTACCTTTTTAAAATTTCTTTCGTTTTTCTGAAAGTGCTCAGTGGTTATTTTATAGTTTGGAAACACCACCCACAGTGCTATAGTGTTAGCTACACTATGTCACAACTATAGTGCACTGTAACGCTGTTGATGCCATCAGTGACTGTAGCTCACTGGAAAAGGACCAAAGAGGGGGCTGCACAGTGTCTGCTGCCTTTACAGAATGTAAATGCACATAATCAAAGGCGCAGCAAACAAACGTGCGTGCTAATGTAGAGCTTGGAGGACGTTGGTTTGTAATCCTTGGGTTGTGGCTGTTGGTGGTTTCAGGTGCGAGACGTGGAAGTGAAGGACCTGAAGGCACGTGTGAGGCTGGTGCTGCCTCTGCAGTGTGATACCAGAGGCGTTGAGCTCCATGAAGAGGCCATGACGTCTCTCCTGGAGGCCACTCAGCACAAAGTGCCCCTGCAGGAGCTGCAGGTGGTCTACGAGGAGTCTGGGGACATTGATCAGACTGCCCTTGCCCTTGAGCATGTAAGGTAGGACTTGGAGGCCACAGGGAGATTACATGTTGTTGTTTTGCCCTGACGTATATGTGACATCCTTTCCTTTCATCTGCAGGTTTTTCTATAAACACATCTGGAGGGAGTGGGATGAGGAAGAGGAGGATGATGACTTTGACTACTTTGTCCGCTGTGTGGAACCCCGGATACGACTGTGAGCACTCTAGGATGATCCTATATTAATAAGAAGTGTTGGTTTGTGCCCGTAGCCCTGACTAAAACATGTCTTATCGTAGCTACTACGACATGTTGGAGGACAGAGTCCCAGCAGGCCTGGTGGCAGAGTACCAGTCCTTACTGGAGAAGTGTTCCAAGTGCTTCCAGCAGTTCTCCGCGTTGCGCAGTGGCCTCAGTGCCGACTCGGACTCGGAGCTCGACAACGTGTCCATGGTAGAGGGCCTGAAGCTCTGTGACCAGCTGGAGACCTTCAAACGCAAGCTGCGCATCATTGAGAACCCCCTGCTGAGGTAGTGTGCATCAGGGCTGGGCATCGTCACTGATTTCTAGAATCGATTCGATTCAGTTCGATTTAAATCTGGGAAATTTTGCCTCAGACAGTCAGAAATATTATAATTCAGATCAGTACATTTACATATTTCTGTATCAATAAAAAGGAATCTGACACTTTCCAGACTTTATCACAGGTGTGAGCGTCACAGCAGAGGCCTTTGTGTCAAAGTAGCTGAGCATAAAACGCAGAAAAACATGAAGGAGATTATCCTGGCCTGGATTTTATAAAAATATTCTGCAGTACATCAAAAACAAAAGAAAACCATTAATCAACACATGAACGTTACCTCTGACGTTACAGCGGTTTTATTAGAGACACGGCTAACAGGCATTTTGTATAATTTTAAAGAGTTTAAATTTGTTCAGTAAGTAAGTTATTATTAATCCTTTATTTATCCAGGTAAAAAATCTCATTGAGATTAAAAATCTCATTTCCAAGAGAGTAAAGGGGAAAAAACAGCGTCCGACAGCCTGTAAACAACGGTAGACTTGTGCGTAACAAGCAAGCGAATAATGCAGAAAAGGTGAAGAGGTGAAGCGTAGTTTGGAGAGAGATCAAACTAACAGCGCAAAAAGGGCGTGAACACAAAGCGCTGACCCGCCGACGGATCAGAAACGGCGAGCTGTCGGCTTTCAGCCCCGACCGTGTCCGTGCCGTCGGGTGAGAAAGTCACATCTCACTGATCCTGATCCGTCGGCGCTGTGTGTTCACGTCTCTGTGCAGAAGCCGTGTTCCTGCTCTCAGTTACTGTCTTAGCTGTTTGGTGGTTGTTGAAATTTTGAGGTTTAACCTGAGGCAAAATACATTTATATAAAAAAAAAATCGATTCAGGATTTTAATGAATCGATTTCACGTTATCCAAGCCAGAATCGATTTTAATCGATTATTAAAACCCTCGTGTGCATGTCCTTCATTGTTCCTTCTCACGCCCAGTGTTCTACACCCCTCCTCTCATGTAGATACGTGCTGGCCTATAAAGGAAATACGAGGCAGCAGTGTGTGCAGAGCAGAGGACCTCGAGCTTCAGGCGCAAAGGTGGTTCATGTGGTTACAGCGTCCTGCAGCACCGTCCAGCTGCAGTCCCTGCTTAGTGCCAGACTCATTCCTCTATGCTCATCTGAAGACACTGAAATTCAGGTCAGTTCCACAGAAGCATAGCTGCGTGTCCAAAGATCACGTCAGCGAATCGGCTAATCGAGACGCATACATTTGGAGTTTGGACTGGATTGTTTCTTCTTCTTTTCTACTCTACCTGAACTCAAAGCGCTTTTTACAACATGCCTCACACCCACAAGCACTTCTTTCTATCCTTTCTTTCCTTCTTTTTAACGTTCACACTCCGATTGATGCATCAGAGAACAACTTGGGGTTAGTACCTTGCTTAAAGGTATTTGGCATGCAGACTGGAGCAGACGGGGATTGAACCACCAACCTTCCAGTTAGCAGATGACATGCTCAAACCCCTGAGCTACAGCCACCCAAACCTTCACCTTAACCCCTCGCACTGACAGCATTCATGCTCTATTACACACCAAATTTTAATGTTGTTGTCTTGTAACCATAGTGAGGCGACTGTAAGCTGCTAATGGTGACTGTGTCATGTACGTAGTTCCACAGAGAGCCGGTATCAGCTGTGGATTCGTGCTATCAGGGCGACTTGGTGATTGTTCTCCCAGGAATGTACAGTGTCAGCAGCTCCATCTTCATACCAGACTCCATCACCATAGAAGGTAGGACACTCACGCCATGCTTGTGTAGAAGTGATGCTAATACAGGGAAACCAAAGATGTCAATTCAGACGTTTTATGCATGATGTGCCGTTCCTCTTGAAGAGCCCTGTTTGTGTGTCCATCAAATTAAGAAGTACATGCAAGCTCGCCATGGTTGAAATGAAGGGGCCACTATGTTTTACGCAAACCTTGGTTATAAGTTATTAACCTGGGAGCTTCACAGTGCACTTCATAGTTGTATGTACAGGTAGACTGATCTGTGATGGTCACATGCAGCTACACTTCAGGACCCCTCGAACATTGACACCATCAGCAGAGCTCCTCAGCTGCAGCTGAGCCCAAACCTTTGCAGGTTGATATATTACAAAAAAAGACAGCACATACACTGGTGCTGTGATATCATATCACCTGTGACAGCACTCGTACATTAATACAAACATTATTATTGCTATAGCAACACCATTCAGGGAGACGAGATGGACATCAGCTATGAAGGTGCTGACGTGGAGCCGGGTGTAAATGCCTGCACCTGCTGACACGTCTGAGGGTGGATCGCACACATTTCCATCTTTGTCACACTTTCTTCATCCTGAATGCCGCGGTCTGTTTGCTAACTCAGCTGAGATCTCCTTTGATCATGGTTACAGTTACATGCAGCCACCATTGAATGGAAAGTGTGTGAAATGCAGAGCCCCTTTGTGTGGTTTCAGGGGCTTCTTTAACTGTGTGTGTGTGTGTGTGTGTGTGTGTGTGTGTGTGTGTGTGTGTCTCAGGCTTTGGGTTTCCTGATGAAGTGGTGATTGAGAAGAAAAGCAAAGGTGACTCATTTGTGGAGTCTACAGGCGCTGATGTCAGACTCTCCAACATCAAGTTCATCCAGCATGATGCCATTGAAGGCATTCTGTGTGAGTATTA